CTCCTGGGGCCCAAGGAAGGCACTAAGTTGGTCTGGATGAAAAAGATTAGGAAGCAGTATTGGTTCCCCAGGTGTCTGGGGACCCAAGACTAGGAATGGCGCAGGGCCCAAACTAGGAGTAGAGAACAGCGGGGGTGATGGAAGGGTGAATGAGGCCGGGGGAGTCAAGGCGTGGAGGGCTCTGCGATAGAGTTATCCCAAGAGAGGCCTGAGGGTAGGAGAGCAGGCTAGGAGAGTTAGCCGGTGGTGCAGGTCCAGGGAAGCAGAGTGAGGTGAGGGCAGGGCCATGTCCAGAAGCAGTGCTCCTGGGACCCAAGGAAGGCACCAAGCCTGTCTTGGTGAAAAGGATCAGGAAACAGCACTGGCTCCCCAGGCGTCTGGGGCCCCAAGACTAGGAATGGCACAGGGCCCAAGCTAGGAGTAGAGAACAGCGGGGGAGATGGAAGTGTGAACATGGCTGGGGGAGTCAAGGCGTGGAGGGCTGTGCAATAGACTTACCCCACGAGAGGCCTGAGGGCAGGAGAGCAAGCCAGGAGAGTTAGCCAGTGGTGCAGGTCCAGGGAAGCAGAGAGAGGCCAGGGCGGGGCCAGGTCCAGAAGCAGTGCCCCTGGGGCCCAAGGAAGGAAACAAGTTGGTCATTCTTCATTCCTAGAAAGCTTATGTGTTCTGAGGGTTTTTTTTGTTGTTGTTTCTTTTTCTTTTCTAGGATTCTCACCCACATCTGGTATTTTCTGTGTGGAAATTTGGACAATTTCCCTAATTATTCAGGGCAACTTTTAATGTGAATCATACAAATCATAGTATTTATGGAAATAATGTTGTGTGATGATTAGCAATCCTGTCAGTAAGTGTCTCAGACATAGAAAACACTTAATAAATACAAATTGTTCTAATTAGAATCTTGCTTCACCTTTCTTTTCAAGAGGAAAAATTTTCATTTTCACAAAACTCATTGTAATATTCACCATATGTTAGGATGTTTTCATTTTTCTTTCAGGTCAAAGCCATTAAAAAATTTTACTACCACTTTACTGAACATATGCTTCCTGGTTTAGGTTCATATGATCTATATTAGTGGCTTAATTATCCTCATTACCTTCCTATTAATAACATTTAACCTACCATTTTATTCTGCATTTAACACACACTTTAGAATTTTTTAATCTATTCTTTAGTTATATGACTAGCCAACATTTCAGTGTGGCAAATTTGTCGAACCAGGAGCAAATCTTACTGCCCTAACTTGTCATATTACTAATATTAGAAAACCATCTAAATAAGAAAGTTCATCCAGCAGCCTATCAATACATGCATACTTCACATTAAATGCCATCCAAATTTTTGTATTATTTCACATTGAACTATATGTATTGCTATAATTATTACCAATCATGACATAGTAATTGAATTATAGGACCAACTAAATATAATTTAGGAATATTAATAATATTGTATATAACATGTATAATATGTACATATACTATAATAACTAATTTATAATTTCAACCCAGAAGAAAATTAATTTTAAGTTTTATTTTCCCTCAGAGAGCTTTATATGGGTAAGACAAGAATAACTACAATAAATATTCCTCTAAAATTAAGGAAAGGCTATGTAATTGGATTGCATCCCTTTGGGAAGAGTGCTGGGGCCTTCACTTTCTCAGAGCCATTCTTAGCTTTTTTAAACAAAAACTGATTCCAGAATTTCATACAATGTGTTTTGTTCTTACTCAGCCCTCCTCTCCATACTCTCTAACTCTAGCTTCTTTAATGAATCCCAGTGTTCACAATGCACTAGAGAGTCTATCCTCCAAAGGCCCAAAGCCAAATATAAACACAATCTGAGGAATTTGAGAGACAGGGCCAAAGCTGCTTCTCAACATCAGGTAACTCTACTGTTTGTGCGCTGTACCACAGGGTTTATTAACAAGTCTCCTGATTTCCAAACTGAGCAAAGGACAACACATGTAGAGATAAAGTCAAAAAGAGTCTCATGTTCAATCCATTCTGGTCATTCATATCACTAAAATGGAGTCAGGCCAATGGCACAGTCAAAGCCTTCCTGGAGACAGTGCCCCTTGCTCTTTGTGTCACCATGGAACCGTTTTAATCATTTGGCGCTTTGATTTTTTTTTTTCTAAGTAGAGGAAGGCAATTTACTTGAAGAAATCTGTTCATATTGAACACTGATCACAACAAACTCTTGAAGTTTGCTAAATAAGATAAAGGAGAAATAGTCTTGACTCCACCAGAGCCTAATATTAGAATGAAATGTTAATATATTATCTTAGAATTTATTTTAAACAAAAGAAAATTAGAACAGGAAAGATGGTTCAGACCAAATTTGGGATTATGTAAATTAAAATACCAGAAATGAAATCACTGAAGTTAAAATAAAAAGATGTAGTAAATATCATAAATTCAGTTTGCTTAAAATGAAAGTCAATCAGGGAAAAATTACATAAACAATACTAAAACAAAAATTATTTTTTCAACTAGCTTATTGCAAAAGCCATTTGGGAAGCAACTCAATGCAGGGGCTTTATTTTTTGTCTGAATTGAATGGGCAATAAATATTTGGACTGCCTTACATTATGTTAGGAAGTTTTTTGTAATTTTCACAACTTCAGGAATGTTTATAGATGTCTTTAATAATTTGTTATGAAATTACAGATTGCTCTTAGTAAAACCACTTAATCTTTTAAATAACATTTGGTTTGAGTAAAATGCAAGAAAATCTATACTAATTTGCAATGTTTATTTTTTATTTAATAACTGGGTAGAACTCTAAGCCCATGTCTTTATCACTCTTTATGCTATAATTATTACGGTAATTTTATTTTCAGATGATGTGGTCTACTCTTATAGAATATCATATTCATAAATATTCAGCTAAAATGAGGCTCCTTGATAAGTTAAGGTGAAATATACTCTTTCTCTTGCTAAAAACTCTGCATATTGGCATACTATGAATTCTAAAAAGAACCCTGCAGTAAAGAGAATTTACCATAACCATTATTTAAACACATATTCTCTGAATATCTAGGAAATCAGAAAATGACAGTTATGTATTTGTATTTGACAGTTACATATCTTAAAATAAATTTTAATGATCTAACTTTTTTATCCATAAGTTAGATATATATATAAGTTATCAAATTGCAGTAACAATATACACTGTCCCTTAAAATACATTTGTGCCATTGACTTTAGGAATTAAAATTTAAAATGAAACAATCAACAACATTATGATTTAAGCTAATACAAACAACTGACCAAGTAGTGCTACAGTAAATCAGAGGCTGTGATAACAGCTGCGGATTTCTGCGATGAATGCCTTTGTGGAACAAGTTAGTTTAAAAAAAGATAAGCAAGTTGAGCCAGGTATAGTGCTCAGGGGAGAGGAAGAGGCCAGCAGATCTCTGGGAGATTGAAGCCAGCTTCGTCTACACAGCAAGTTCTATGCCAGCTGGAACTACAGGGAGACTTTATCTCAAAAAAAAAAAAACACAACAAAGGAAAAAAATAATGTTATTGAGATATTTTGGTCTTGTTTTAGATTCCAGAACACCTGTCATTTTCTTTTATAGTGTATAAATTAAATTAGATGTGTTATATATTTATAAGCATGCATATAGATATAGTCTTATTTGTGTTTTACTGTTTAACTTATCTATGACAGAGAATATCTTTCCTAGGTGCCTTAAAAGTCTATTTGGTATTATTGAGAGACTTTTTGCTTGTTTGCTTTTGTTCTTTCTTAATAGATGTTATCCTGTATGACATTCTCTTGCATTCAGGAATCTAGAATATTCTGTTATACAAGTCCCATTTCCTGAACTCTTTATCCAAAAATTATTTTTGCTTTGACTTTCCAAGAGAATTACACTATCTCTACAAATCCTATGATAATTTAATTTGCTTGATCAGACCCAAGGACAAAGTTTTGTTAAACTAATTCTTCATACTTGGCAGATTTGAATTTAATCCAGACTGTTATTGTAGATGATGAGAACGATGCAATTCTTTTTTTTTCATTTTAGAATATTTTTATTATTCCAAAGAGAGGCAATTTTCAACACATTTTTTCCAGAAACAACTTGAAACAGATTATATAAAAATATGCATACAATGAAATTTAACGAGGAAAAAGTAGAAATAAGAAATCAAAGACCAAAGAATTCACCAACATAGGGTCAGCTTTGGTGGAATAATGAAGGTTTCCATTAAGAGTGAATTTGTAACCCCAAGCTGTTCTCTGTGGCCACTACAATTTCTTCTTGCTCCCTGCAGGTCCCACATACGGAGCAACACCAATGGCTAACAAAAACGTCAGTGTGATAACAGAATTCGTCCTCCTGGGACTGACTGATGACCCTGTGCTGAGTACCCTGCTCTTTGTGCTTTTCCTGATCATTTATGTCATTACTGTAGCAGGCAACTTGTGGATTATCGCAGTAATTTTGACTACTGCTCAACTTCATTCGCCCAAATACTTTTTCCTTAGCCACTTAGCCTTCTTGGATTTCTGCTATTCATCAGTCTTTATTCCCAAAATGCTGACAAACTACTTGGCGGGACAGAAAGCCATCTCCCAACCCAGCTGCCTTCTGCAGTATTCCTTTGTCAACATGTTCCTGACTGCAGAATGCTTCCTCCTGGCTTCAATGGCCTATGATCGCTACATTGCCGTCTGCCGCCCACTGCACTACAAAGGTCTCATGACCCCCACATTCTGCATCTCCCTAGTGGCTGCTTCTTACCTGCTGGGCTGTGCCAACTCACTTACCCACCTGAGCAGCCTGCTCAGCCTGACCTTCTGTGGCCCCAACGTCATTAACCATTATTTCTGTGACATCCCATTGCTCTTTCAACTTTCATGCTCGGACACCCAGCACAGTGAGACTTTGTTTGTTGTCCTCTCTGGGGCTACATCTGTGACTACTTTTCTGATAGTAGTTAGCTCCTATCTGGGGATTCTTATCGCTGTCCTGAAAAAAAATTCCACCCGGAGCAAGTATAAAGCTTTATCCACATGTACCTCCCACCTCACTGTAGTAACCCTCTTCTATGGAACAGTGATATTTACTTACCTGGGAACCAGCTCCAGCTACCCACAAGATGTAGCCAAAATCATGTCTGTGTTTTATACCCTTTTGCTGCCCATACTGAATCTTTTGATATACAGTTTGAAAAACAGGGAAGCCAAAGAAGCCATGAAAAGAATGATTAGGAGAAAAATATTTGCTCAGTGAGCATGAATTTTCAAGCAGAGATCTTTAAGGATCATTCTGTAGACTGAGACATGGTTCAATACCTATAGTACTTGGAGAAAGGGGAAGGAAAATATTTTGAAAGCAGCTTATTTGCAATGAACAGTCATTTAGGCTTTGAAAACTTTGATGTTTTGTGGGCATATAGCAATAATATAAAGATTTTCATTGTGACATTTTTAAGCGTGTATATATTTTTTATCATACCACTGTTGCCCTCTCTTTCCCTTTTCCTTACAATAGGTGTTTTCTGCTGCTTCCCAACTAGTTGCCCTCCTAGTTGCATGCCTTTTCTGAAGGGTCATTGGGGGAGTAGCTCAAGGTATTCAACTAGCGTTAATAACAAGGACATGGGTAAGAAGTTATTAACAGTAATTTCACTAACCTGCATGCACACACAGGAATGCATATGAGTTCACATATATTTTCCTTAATTCTCTTAAGCTCAGTAATTGGAGGTCTGTGAATTAAACTGAAAAAAAAGAAAATTTAAAGCAAGCAAAAGTAAAGTGTTTTCGCCTCATGTAAGAAAACAAAAGATAGTCTGGCCCAATGATTACAGGCAGGATTCGTATATCCCCAGTTTAATAGTGGGAAGAGAGCGTGGAGAAAAAAGTCGTGTGGGAAACACAAAGATTTCCATATTGTTTGTTTCATGTTAATCCATGTTGGTTTTCTGTCTCATTCTCTACATCAACAACAAAAACCCCACCAGGTAGGTACTTATGAAAATTTCTTTCCTTCCTGATGGAAGTTTTCACAAAGAATGGATTTATGTCATCCCCATTTTCAGAAATGTCTGCCTTTAATTCACATTAAAAAAAAAACTATGAAAGGTTTTTTCTTGCAGACTTTTAGAAGTCTTCTACTAAATTAATTTTATATCACTGATATGTAATTTCAAGTCCTTCAGTTAGTTCTTATGATTTTTTGAAATCTAATGACCCCTAAAAGAGATTGACTCCATTTCTTATGGACTAGCTGTGTTTTAAATAGGAATTATAAGTTCCATCAGAAATATAGAAGAGTGGGAAGATGATACATGAACATCCATACTCATGTCTGAGAACAGACTGCAGGGAATGAACTTTATCTGCTTTCTTCCTTCCAACTCCCAAGGTTTGACCATCTTACATATGAGACAAACAAGGATCAGCTTTTAGATCAGATGTTATCAAATTCTGAGATCTGGTATTCAAACACAGAGTATTGCATGCATATATGTAATAAGACTTCTCATCTTTCACATTTCAAACAGTATTTTTTAATATATTTTATTTGCCATCATTCATTTAGAAGAGGAGAAATCTGGACATACCATTTGAAAACAATTTTCTAAATAGCAGAGAATTTTTCCCCTTATGGTAATTTAACAAAATTACTGAAAATTCATCACAAATATTTTCTATTATGAGAACATATGCTGAAATTCACCAAATAAATTCGATAACTTCCTTACAAATGGTAGCCTTTCAAATGCTTTAAACTAAATGGTGTTTAGAGCCTCATACAGCACATATTCACACAGTATTTCAAGTGGAATCTGTATTTTAGCTTCCATGTGAGTGCATTAGAATCTTAGTGCACAATTACTGTTGTCTAGAATTGACGAGAGAGAAAGTGATGAGCATGCTAATTGGCACATTTATTAAAAACCTGGATAATGATTTAACTTTGCAAAAACAATGTTGATATTTATGAAGTTACTAATGGTTAAAATTTTAGTATATATTAAACAACAGATGTCAAAATCTTTAAAAGTACTTCTGGAATTTTATTTTTCATACACTGACAATTAAATTCATGTACTTATGCAATGTGATAAGGTAAAGCACATTTCTTTCATTGTTTCTGTACGGCCTGTAGTTTCTACTACAATAACCCCATGGCAAATATTTTCATCACATTTCATCATAATACCATATTTATTTGTAAAAATATAAGAAACATGTAATAACACAATTTTCAAAAATAAACATATTAAGGGTAACATTATAAAGTTTTGAGGAAGAGATACACGTTATATGCTTTATCTAAGATTTTCAAACATCATGTATTTTGGCATCTGCAGTGGGTCTTGGGACCAATCCCCTGTGAAGAGCAGAGGATATTCATTTCAGAGAGGATGCTTATATTTGCATTAGGCCTTTATTCATTAGAAATTCCAGATTCCAGAAAGTTTTCTTTTTTAACATACAGTACAGAAGCATTTTCCCCTCAACAAAACATTCTAAGAAAGCTTTCCTCAGGCTTAGGAAAATATGAGTTATTTAAAAAAGATCTGTGGCCTCCTAAGCTGTGTAAAACATAGAGCTTCATAAGATGTGCATGGTAAGTGCATTTGTGCTTGTTTCAAAAATTAACAAAAATTACAGTTTATCATACTTTATGTAAATACTCAACAGTCTGGAAAGGGTTTACTAAATACTTATGCATAAATGTAACCTAAGGGTCACAGGACATAGAACAAGGGGTAAAGGAACACTAGTGCATCTCTCAGTTCTCATCAATGAAACTCCCTCATGCAGCAAAGAGCCAGGAACAGTAAAGGTCAAAAATGGACAAAATGTGGGAATACGAGTGTGTAGACTGAGTCCTTGGACGGGGCTGCTTTATTAAACTCATTCCACCCAGGGTTCAGGGACATTGCTTTGCAGAAGGTGGAATGGAAAGATTGCAAGAGCCAGGGAGGAGGTGCATGACCATATGCAAATAGAGTCCTACAGGCTCCTGGGACCTTTCTCATATGAACTTACAGCAATGGTGTCAGCATTTACCCATGCAAACGTAAGCAGACAAAAACCCAGCACAGTCGTCCCAATCTTAGTCAAAGAAGTATTGGCAGCTGATTACTGCTGGGTGTGACCAGCTGATATTCTTAAAGGGAGGGACTCTAGATAGGCTGACTAGAACTCAGTGGATGAACTTGAACTGGGGGATGTCTGAGCACATTAATTTGACATGATAGGCCTTAACACAAATGACAGAATTTATGAATTCCAGTGGGGGTGCTATGGGTGTGTCCCAGCCAATAGATAAGGGGCTATAACGTTAAGATGTTCTCCATTAAATACACACAAATTCAATTTAAAAAGAAGAAAAAAATACCTAAACATACATGTAAAACATTTTTAAGGGATCATATTTTATTGTTTTATTATATGGCAAGAAGCAGATATCGATTGAACACCTGTTTTATCCTCAACAGTGTGCATGTTACCTCATTCATGTATGTCATTTGATTGAATATTGAAAAATACATGAGTCAGATGTTTGTTGTATGCTCAATCATAGACATGGAGGATCAGAGACATCAGGAAGAGTTCACGTGGATGCAAAGCTGATATATACTTGTGGACACAAACCCAACCTCACATACACTTGTGTCCTACACAAACCCAAAGCTGATATATACTTGTGGACCCAGAATCATGGTGTATAAATTTACATTAGCCATAACAGCCTAGTCTTCATATACAATGTTAAAATTTGAGCTCCCTCTGGTCCTCTCATCATCCTGTAGCAGGTCGCTGTAGTTGGGGGTGGAGGGAAGCACAACTCCAATGGCCCTTAGCATTACCTCGAGGATGCGCAAGAGAAAGGTCAGTTCAGAGTCAGGCCAAGGAGGAGTTCAAGGATGGAATCCGCTCCTGAAGAAGTGGAAACCAAGCCAAAAAAAGGAAAGGATACATTTTCGGACAAAAACGTGCAGAGAAAAGGGAAGAGGGGAGCAAAGGGAAGCAGGCTGAAGTGACCAACCCAGAAAGTAAAGACCTGTGTGCAGAAAACCGAGAGTCGGGGAAGGAGGAGAGCCCAGCTTCGGCAAGTCCGGCTGATCACATCTGGTCGCTCTGTCTCCCCTGCTGCCCTTCCTGTGCAATCCAGAGGAATTTTTTATCAGCTATTTTGGAAATGCAAGGATTTTAGTAGCTCTATAAGCCTTTTTAAAGAGATAAAGTCTCAAATTTTGAATGTACATGCTTTTCTCAAGAGGTGAAATCATTTGCTGTTTATTGTGGGGTACAACTAGAAAAAAGTAGGATATTGAATCATGGGATCCTATGACTGTTTTGGGTGTCAGTATAAGATTCTGCAGAGGGGTTTAATTTTACATCCCATGACACACAGCACAATAAATGGAAATTTAGAGTCTCAGTCGTGGATTTGAAGTATCCTGAATATTTTAGATGTCTTTTAGCAAAACTATTTTCTAATATAAAAAAAAAAAAGAAAAAACAAAAACAAAAAACAACAGGAAAAAATCTCCTTGGTGTTTATTCTGTCAGAACTGTGTGCTGTGTGTAACACTTCTGGTCATGGTGGTCCAGATCTCCTAACAATTTTGATAATGTGTTGTAGAAGATGAAAAATTGAATGTGTAGCTTTGAAATTTTTTCCATGAAAAATTCAGTGGAAGCAATGATTATCAGCATTTGATGATGTTGTGATAAGAGATTCTCTTACGGAAATTTTGCCAACAAGTGTGAAGCTGGAACATCACTGAAATAACTTTTTTTTTGGTCTTTTTTGAGACAGGGTCTCTCTGTAACCCCAGATGTCCTGATACACACTATGGAGACCAGGCTGGCCTTGAACTCACAGAGATCCACCTGCCTCTTTCTGCTTCCCAAATGCTGGGATTAAAGGTGTGTGCCACCATGCCCAGCAAAAATAACATTTAAGAAGAAACACAAGGGGCTGGAGATGGCTCAGCCATTAAGAGCACAGGCTGCTCTTGCAGACCAGGATTTTCCTGCCAGCACCTACAGGGTGGCTAATCATAACTACAATTCCAGGGGATTTGATACCCTCTTCTGACCTCCATGGGCATTACATAACACAGGTGTACTTACAAACGTGGGAATACAGTCATCCACAGAAAGTAAAAATAATAAATAAAATATTACAAAATAAAACCTAGCAGATGAGAAGAAATGACAAAAATCAGAGCAGAAATTAATGAAATAGAAACAAAGAAAACA